CTCAGAAAGACCTTTCGGACGAATTTTCCCCATGCAGTACCGCAGCCGCTTATACCAGTTCCTTCGCTTTGCTCCACATAGTGCGCTGCAAATAAAGCGATACGAGCATCAGCATTGGCCGGACTTTTGTGGGTGGGCGGGCGCGGTAGACATCCGGATTAGTATGTTGTAGCTCGATAGGGCGCTTTCCTTTACCTTCCATTGGAAAGGCGCTACGCAGGGTCTGCTCAGGAGCGCCGAATCCTGTCCGGATAGGCGTATTGATTCTACACGTCTTCGCGATTATCGTGCCACTTGCCTTTAAGCACCGAATGCTTTATCTCAAACAACAGCATGTCTTTGGGTTAGAGAGAATCTTTGCCGAACACGATCTTCTCCTCCGGTACGATACCCTTCAGAGCCGTCTGACTACCTCACCAAACTTTCCCAAATCACGGTTGGCTCCGCCCTTACTACTTACCACTCACCTAGTTCAGCTTCATCTCTGAAGACTGCGCTCGTTTCCGAAGATTCATATTACTACTGCCTTCACTAGAATCCCAGTTACCACGTTACCTAGTGATCCTCAGCCGGACAACCTGCGAATGGTTGTTGGGGGTGCTACTTTTGAACCCCTCTTTGCACATCTAGTGCTGTAGAGTGTTACTCAAAACAAAATTAGGGCGGCAGAAGTTCTGCGCTTTCAACTGCCTATCTGCCAGTTGGTAAACTTGTAACAACAGCGGACCCGTTTTGCCCTCTGCTGCCGCCTCAGTAGCTCCATTACACTTACTGCACTATTGCCGCTGTCATCGCGACGATCTGGCGGGGCGTGGTCAACAGACATGCGATTGGTCCACCTGCGGCATTTTCTACCGGTCGTTGTTTTCTGCCTGGACCGGCCACCAATTGTAGAAAACGCAGCAACTAGCGGGTTCATTTCACGCCTTCTTACACCGCCCCTCTGACTGCAATGATATCAACTATGCGTAATAGCGGAATTGTTAACATTCCAAATGAACCAAAGACTGATTTGAATGCTGTAACAGAGCGAGGAATGCAACTGCGATTGGGGGATGGGACAGGATCATTGCTCAGGGATGCATCCTACCTCTACTATGGCTAGTATCGAATTTCATAGAGGGTCAGTCAGGTTGTCCTACTCTACTGAGGTGGGTAAGACAATCTGGCTGACCTGCTGGCTACTGTATTACCATAGACAAAAAGAAAAATGACGAGATGGACATACCTCTGCTCCCGTGGCCTTTGCTTTCTAGAGATTTATGCGTTGTTCATCGAGCCGAGGGATAAACGGCGGTGTACACTTTACTTTTAGCAAATTCACTATGCACAATGTTCTAGTAAGATGTCATAATAATTTCAGAGAAAGGGCACTGCCACCAACAACAAATGTTGTTCCGTATGACATCAATGTCGATCCCAACTTCCCTGTTGAGGCTCCCCGTGCTCGACCCATAGTGGATGAGTTTTCCACCAACCGAGTTGACGAGGAGTTCCGAACAGGTTATCGATGGAGATCGGTACGAATTTGAAATTGTGTGAAATATTTGTGTAAGTAAAGTCGTACAGTGTCAACATTTTGTAGAACCCTGTGTCAACTCTGTCGCAATATCAAAGCTCCATACCCGATCGAGCATGGCGACGTGCGCCAACCTACAGTGTTCAGCAACCTAGTGGATACGCTACGTCTCAAACGTATCCTGGATCACAATCTTCATACGGGATCTCACAGGTATTCTCACTCCCATTTATGAATGAAAGCCGAGAGGAAACGAAAATGCAGTTTTGTTTGGACAAAACTAAAACGGCAGTTTCGCGTTAGAAAGCTGTGACGCTGGGGCGAGGGCCTTGTTGAGTGCGCGTAAAATGAGCTTCCCGTGTACGCACACAACGTCTCCATGCCGCGTCTAGGTAGCACTCCCACGGCCCAGGCTAAGGGTAGAGAGCAGAATTGGCGTTACGCGCTGCTTCTCCAACAATCTCGGGCTTCCCCGGGCCTGCGCGCTGTATCATCGACGTTAGAGTGTCTCAACAATACAGTGGGTCGCTTTCATACTTGCCACGCGCTGGAGAAATAGGCAGAACTGCAGCGTAGGCGAATGAGCCGCTAAAGAAGTAAAAGAGCAATTGGGTACCCCAGTAGCTAGGCGAATCGATAACGAGAATAAATTAGATCGTTGTGAGCAGTTCGATTTCCATCTACTTTTTAATAGAGTACCTCTATCGATTTCGCCAGATCAATACTTATGGGAATCCCCACCAGCTAGGGAAGCCGTATTTGGTGGGGAAGGGAGGGCCTAGTTCGACTTTTTTCAAAGCTTGTTATTTGGAAATGGAGTGAAAAAGTGGAGGTATTCGGGGAAAAACGGCGGGGAGGTAGTAGGAAGTTGGGAAGTCCAGGAAGATGGTAGGTAGGATGAGAAGAAGGAGGGGAGGAGTCGTAGTTTGCAAAACTTTCTCGCAACGGCAGGAGGTGCCCTGTCCGTGGTGCCGCAAAGTATGAACGCGTTCTAAGCTGTCTATCACCGTCGCTCCACCCTACACACAGCGCGACAAGCGTCCCCCTCCCCCCTACCCCCACAGAAAGCGCGATATCGGTATTCCACGGTATTCCACAATACTCTACAGTGTGTTGAAGAAAAGGTCAGCCAGTAATAGTAAATACAAGTTTTTCAGGCTTACGGCTTCAGTCCAAGAGGATATGCTTTGAACTATCGAGGAAGGCGACATTATTTGCTTAGATAGGTGAGTCATACACTCATGAGGGGGCAGATGAATAAGACGATCTCCAGTAAATAACATCCTGACCCTATTACTTAGCAGCACCCGTGACCCTATTATTGGCGCCTATTTGCTCTTTGCTACAGGGACTCTGCACTTCCCTGTGCGATCGAAATGGTCAACGTGATAGGAAAGAAAGGGGGAGTAACGTGTTCTGATAAAGGGGAGGGGGCACACCATGCTACACCATGCTCATGGAGTGCACCATAAACGTTCAATTTTCGGGGTAAAGTAACATTATACTCTGAACTCTCGATGAAGAACCCTGGAACCGACGTGTCTGGAACATCAAAGCGCTTGACTATGAAGCGGTCGAGTCCTGGAAATTAAAAAATGAACCATGGCTAGGTTGCTTCAAGCAGCTGGACGATTGCCGCCTTTTGAATAAGATTGTTACCCTTCAAGAACCTGCATGCGTGAGACGTAATCCTGGAAATTACGCAGCCCGTTCAGACTGACGCAATTACCGCAGGTCTTCCAGTTCGCTACGGCGATTAAGAATGGCTTCAAATTAAAAAAAACAACGGATGGAGGGCTTGCTCCTATTTATAGTTCCTACGATCAGTGATAGCAGCAAGCGCTCCAGATGATGGGATCACCAGAAATTCTCAGGACACTCCTGAGAAGAAGGGGCAATTTTGGAAACCAGCCATGAATAGGAACAACC